TCGCGCGCGATGTAATTCGACGAAGAGATAAGAAACGAAAAAAATTTAACACATAATGTATATTTAACAGACAATGTATATATATTTAGCACATGATTAATACATTTAACACATAATGTATATATTTAATACATAATTAATTATGGAACGCATCGTGCACAATATGATCTGACGCGTAAGCTATGAGTTCACATTCAATAAGCGACGTTTTATCATATACCTTATGCAAAATATTTATCGCATCGTCTTTATTCACAATACAATTGTGACGTAAATAATCGACGAAATGCTTAAACTTATTACTAACGGCGTCCGTATTTTGATTTAAATTAAAGTATGCATGCTCAACGCAATGTTCGAGTTCGAATATAAAAAGCATAGTCGACGGTTTCATGAACATACAAGTATCATTCAGCGTCAATTTAACAATATTATCATTGCGTATTTTTACGAGATCTATAACTAAATCTTAAATTCGTAGCGAAGACGGGACGCTTGATTGCAGAAATTGTTCAATGTCCATACGTCTCTCGATGTACATCCTCCACATTCCATAAGGCAGGATAATATGATTGCCTCGGTTGTCACCAATAAGTATTTCCACATGAGATATAGGTCCAACGCTTCCAATATCCAGATATTTAAAATTAGTGGTTGTTACAGCAAATCTTCTTTCCAATATACGAGGCGTCTTCGTAATATGAGACGCAATTCTGTAAATGAATTAAAGCATTGAAAAACATAAATTAAGCGTGGAAAATCATTTATTGAAACTTACGGTCTCTCGATCGCTTCATCCTTCAGCGGAACGTAGAAATTCATGGTAGTCGAAAGAGAGACCAATCTGGCACCTCTCTGTCAAAATCTAGCACCACTCTGTTACGTCCGGACCCCAGGATATTTAATTTGGTAGTTTGCGTGCGAGAGTAAATCCCGTGTGCGAACGAGATGGGACTGGAAGTGGAGGGGGTAAAGAATGACGCAACTAGACGAGCTGTCTCGCAGGTACGCGCCGAGGCGGACGATGCGAGTCGAAGGCGCTTTTGCAAGGGTTCGAAAGCGAGTCAA